GACCTCAATACACATCGGAAGAGCAGTGAGTAATAGGGAGTTGTGATCCACCATACAAACTTGACCCACCCTAGTGATCACACATGCTTTTCATGCTACTCATGAATTTCAAGCGATATCAGTGTGCCTTTTGTTTATGTGAGCCCAATGAGCGTTACGAGTCTACATGGAAATTTGCCATAAAATATGTGTACTTTTATCTGAGTGTAGGATTCTCGATGATTCCGAATTTCTGAAAATTGTGCGAGTCCTGAGAATTCTTGGACTTGTTGGATAGAAAGTTTCTGAAGCTGAAAAAGTTTAAAAAGATCTCAGATTACCAGGTCTCAACTCCTCGGAACTCTAGCAATCTGAGAACTAAGGGTTGTTGATGTTCCAGACACTTTATTTTGAGAGTTTCTAATGAGCGGCACCGATGGTGTAGCGGTAAGCGTTCAATCCCAGTCGGCGCCGCCGGGATGTTCTGAGGCATAACATCTCTGATCACGCTTTCCTTCGGAAGGGATGGACGGCTTTACCGTTGGTCTCCGGTTCATGAGTTGATGGGTCGATAGGTAGGGTCCAGGTGTGGGAACTGCTTCCCTGGCGTCGTTAGCATTGATGCTCAGCATGGAAAACAAGATCGACGGAAAACAAATCAAAGGAAAAAAAAGTATTTAAGATAACGGACATGAATGTCTAGATCACGGAGTTGAAAAAAATCAAAATGTTAGTGATTCCATCAACATTAATTAACCACTTCATTCGAGCAGTTTTGAATGACGTTTCCAACTACTCGAATTTCGAAATAAAACAATATTTTAAGAGGTTATCTTCTACGAGAAAAGTAGCCAACATTTGTGCATTTCATAAAAAATAGTAATTTGTTAGTCCAGTTTTGGGAAATCGCTGGTAGAAAGTCACGTCAAAACTACTTGACAAAATTTTCAATTGAACAGTTAAAGTTCCCGTCTATTCACAACTCTTCTTATCAGACTTAACACGTTTAACGAATCTTTAACCCATTTGTTACCAAATCAAGCTGAGATTTTATGTCATGTTTTAAATGCAATATCTCTACTCTCAACATTGGTCGTGAAAAGTGACTTTAGTGACTAAATTTTAAGAAACAGTGACTTTTGGTGCAAAAAGTGACTGCCTTGAAAATAGTGACCTACACACTTAGATTTTTTCGCCGAGATGGCCACCACCGAGCAGCTCGGCATTTTATTTTGCTGGATCGCAGTGAAAAACTTGCCGAGATTCAGCTAACAAACGGGAATTTCGCCGAGATCTCAGCTAACAAACATATTTTTTGCTGAATTTCCGAGCTGCTCGGTGGTGCCCATCTCGGCAAAAAAATCTAAGTGTGTAGCCACTGAAAAGTGACCTGCTCCCAGTCCTGGAATTTCTCAGTTTTCATAAAGCAGCTGATTTCATCATGGAAGTTCTATTAACAACCAATAATTAAACGTTTGAGGCATACTGAAGCAATATGAAAGTGATTTTTTTCCTTGTCGGGTATTTTCATCACTGCGACCATTTTTCTGATCTATTGTGATATATTCCCCATTTTTTTTTCTTTAGCTTTATCAAGATGCCGTATCACTATTGTTAGAAGTGATCGCCATCGTTTGACTAATATCATAATCCCAGCACGGCATTATACTTCGAATAAAGTGCACTGCCGTACTGGGAGTTGTTCTCCAAATGTCAAAGGGTTCTATCAGCCCCTTGTCGAAGAATTTCCGGACAGTGGTATAGCAAATGTTCCGAGTCTTCCTGTTCTATGCCACAGAAGCGACATACATCATCTTGAAGTTTTCCAATCAGCTTCAAGTGATAACGGCTCGGACAATGAACTGTTATAAGACCTGCATATATACTAAGATCTTTCTTAGAAAGTTCCAGGATTTTGTGGGTCACAGAAATGTTTGGATTAATGAATCGCTTCGACTGCCTAGCAATAGAAGTGTTCTTCAAGTTTTCCTCCACTTTTGAAGATTCCCACGCTTTTAGCTCCATTCTAAGAGATGCAGCCGATAAGCCACAAAAGGGCTCTGGCCCGATGAACTTATAAGAAGATCCGAGTCTTGCTAGTGCATCAGCTCTTTCATTTCCCTCAATCCCGCAATGACCAGGAACCCAATATAAGTTGACTTGATTATGACAAGACAATTTTTGAAGTGATTGCACACACTCCCAGACAAGTTTTGATGTACGCCGACTTTAAAGCATTTAGAGCAGCTTGACTGTCGGACATGACGCATATATTTGAACTCTTATAGTTTCTACGCAAACATATAATGGAACACTCTAAAATTGCATGGATTTCAGCTTGGAACACAGTTGGCCATCTGCCCATAGGAACCGATATTTCTATCCCTTGGCCAGTTACTCCTGCTCCCACTTGATTGTTCAATCTTGAACCATCTGTATAAAAAACAATCGATCCTTGAAAAAGTCGATTGAAATTGGATCTTTTCTCCATCCAGTTTTCGTTGTTCCTTACTAGAGAGTTGATACTAACAGTTTTTAGAATCCTAAGATGTCTTCTAAGGTCTCCCTTCAAAGAGTTTCACTGACCTTGTAATCCTTAGAGCACACTTTTCGGCTTCTAATTGTACAAATTGATGTAATGGTAGCATATAAAGCAAAGCATCCAATGCCTTCGATGGTGTACTTCTCATTGCACCTGTTATTGAGAAAGTTGCTAACCTTTTGAGTTTTTCTAACTTTCTCTGAGCAACACTCTCTTTTGTTTTTGGCCACCAGACCAATGCACCATAAGTAATCCTGGGTTTCACAATTGCCGAGTAAATCCAATGGATCATTTTCGGTTTCAGTCCCCACTGTTTTCCGAATGTTCTTATGCATACCCATAGAGCATTAGTAGCTTTGTTTATTGCCTGCTCTAGATGCATATTCCAATTAAGTTTACTATCGTTTACTATAAGTTTACTATAAGTTTACTATCGAGGATTACTCCAAGATATTTGACAGCATTAGAAAGATCCAAAAGTGTGCCTTTCAATCTTATGTTGTCTAATGAAAATTTCTTCCTTCGGGTAAATGGCACGATAGTAGTTTTAGAAGGATTTATATTTAATTTATGAAAGTGATATGTTGCACTATGGGAAATCATCATAGTTGCAAAAATAAAGAGATTAAACATAACCCTTTGCTTCAGTATCGTCAACATCCATGTCCATGGGACCATGGGGCCCTCCCCATATACAATTTGAACAGTATTATAAACCTTTTCATCAATGTTCCATATCCCGGATCACGCTCATGGTATTTTTTCAAGGCAATAAACATTTTGTATTTGGGCCTCAAAAAGCCCAGTCAGTAAGGAACTGAATTATTCAGCCGGAGGCGGCGGCTTCAATGCCCGGTCCAGAAATCTTTCGGCTTGAAGTTTGTTTCGACTTCCCTGGGATTCATGGCATAGAATTTTATCAATTAATAACTGCTGAAGCACATCTATAACAATAAGTTGAAGCGTAAAAAAGCCTTAAAAAAGAAGAAGATATAGTCCATTTCTGAAATACAAGATGGCCGTTTTCATTGGCACCTTACTATACATTCTGCAGTGTATAGAAATTAATGAGCAAATTTCACTATTTTGATCATATCTCCAGAACTAAATGTCTGATTGGAATATATTGAATAGAATTCTATAGCAATAAACATCACAAAATGGGTGTGTGGTTGAACTAAACCCGATCCAGTAATCGCGGAGAAAAGTGTGTGACTCACTCACTTTTCTCCGCAATTACTGGATCGGGTTTAGTTCAACCAGACACCCATTTTGTGATGTTTAGTGCTATAGAATTCTATTCAGTATATTCCAATCCGACATTTGGTTCTGGAGATATGATCAAAATAGTGAAATTTGCTCATTAATTTCTATACACTGCAGAATGTATAGTAAGGTGCCAATGAAAACGGCCATCTTGTATTTCAAAAATGGACTATATCTTCTTCTTTTTTAAGGCTTTTTTACGCTTCAACTCACTTAAAGTGAGCCTCAAAAGTGACCCTCAAAGTCTTGCATCGAGCCACAGATATTCGAGAAAGACAACGTGACAAAGATCGTGCTGAACTTGATGACCAATGCCAGAACAACTAAAAATATTCGAAGAAATGGTGTTGACAACTTCTCAAACAATTTATGTGACATTTGATGGTCAGTGGGCAAGTAGACTATCACAGTTTTTGTTTCGATATACGTTATATACCACAAAAATGACCGGTCACAGCTTTACAATCTTGCACACGCAATTATACCCGCTGCCTAACACCAGTCTTTTTCATACCGCGTTTTATGCATGTATTATATAGAGATAATACCACAATATGAATCACCGTTCGCGAGGCCACAAGTTCATCCCCAATTATTTAGAGATAAAAAAACCGTCCGACATTCATTGCGAGTTGAGTGTCGTGATCACCCGGTGACTGAACATAACAAAAAACAAAATCCCTTCACCAAAACCACAGACGCTCGTCTCGCGTGCGTTGTTGTTCGTCGTTGGTATGATATGCGAGGTACACAAACAACCAACCAACCAACATCCCATTACGTTATCTAATAGGTGGGGTGGGAGAATGTGAAAATATTAAGTGTCATCATCTCGAATCTCGGCGGAAAGTAGCTTTGCTTAAATAAATGTGTATGCCTTGATGTGTTCACAATGCAAGACTTGCAGCTAGTTGGCGGCGCGTGAATGTCAATAAACACGTTTATGTGAAAGCATGGTCAGAATATGAAATGTATTCTAGCCTGCATGCGCTTCCTTCTGCCTGTGAACGGGCATCCGGAAGAGGCAATGATTTAAAGGAAATGTTCTAAGCCTTGCACACGGATGGATTAAGAAGCAAATAAAATAATAAACACATTAAATCATTAAATCGTAAACCATACACGGTGCATAGTAATATCCGTCTGGCGAGCAGTCGCAACTACCTGCCAGACAAGCAATGGTAAGTAAACATGGATTTGTGGAGATTCTTACCTGACGGCAACCCGAACAGATGATTCCTTATCGTCGTCTGACATCTTGCCACCTTTGAAGGTACGCCCTTCGTGTTCGTTCTATACTATTTCTTTAGGTGGTTAAGCAAATATTTATTCATCCGACGTAATTTCCAGGAAAAGAAAGAGAATAGAACTGAGCAAACGGTGACAATTTAGATATCCTTTCTCATGGAGAAGAAAATCCTGCAATAAAAAAAAGACATAATACACATTAGCATACGTTGAGTTGAGCAAGTAAAGTTTCACAGATTAAACAATCGGTTTTCCCAAACAGACCACCTCGGTTAACAAGTAGAGGCCCAACAACAACATCAGCAACAGCAACCACTCTCTATTTGGTTACAACAGAAACCGTTTTGTTGCAACGAACAGTTTTTTTTTGCTTCGCCGAACTCGAACTCAAATTGCAAGGTTTGCCATGTTCGTCAAAATGATATTTGTTTCGTTTGCCATTTGCGTTTCCCCGTTGAGTGTTGCATCAAAAATAATAATAGTGGGTACGCGAACAAGCAAGTGTGCAGCCCACATGGCAAAACTGCCAATGCGAAAGTTTAACATTCATGATTTTGTTGTTGACAAAGTAAAGATTCGTTGAACTATGATGCTACCTGGTACTGTTGTATTATATTCAGGAAAGTATTTATTATCTAATAGTGTTGGTATACACAGTAACACCCAGTAGAGAATTGTGAGATTCAATGACAGATTTGTATAAAACAAATACAAAACCACCGGAAAATTTACAGAAGATGCCATTGTTTACGTTCGCGACTTATGCCCTTATGAAAGGTCACTATCGAATTGCTCGTTAAAGAAACGACTCAACTTGCTGGTGACAGCTTTCGACGGGTTAATCAAGGCAATTTTTGCGTTTTTTTTAATATTTTCGGCGTTTTAAGGGTAATATTTGTGGTGTTAGGTAATTTTGTCGTTTTAATGCCATTTTGCCATTTGTCGATGCTAGATAATTTTTACATTTTAGGGACCATGTTATCGATTATAGAACTCTGTGTTTTCGCACATCAAAGATATTATTTTTTTAAGCTTTCAAGGAAAATTTTACGGTTTTGAAGCGATTTTAGATAAGTTCAAGACCAACAATTGAAAAGGTCGAAACTCCATTTTGTAAACAAACCTTGTAAGGCCATTTTGTCGCGAACCGAAGTCCACCAACGCAAACCAACAAAATAAACAGGTAGGGGATTCTCTTCTACCCGATTGTGTTTTAGGTTTGCCAATGTAGGTTTCGGATCGCGAGAAAATGACCTTACAAGGTTTTTTAACTAAATTGAGTTGAGGCCTTTTCAATTGTTGGGAGTTTTTTGTTGTGTTTTGGGACTATTTTAGTATTGTTGGGTCGCGAGTTTATGGAATTTCTCAAAGTGGGTCGCAGTCAACGAAAACCAACCTTTTCCGACTGATATGTGAACCTATGTGAATAACAAAACGAATTCCAATTGACCAGAGCACTTAAATCTGCCCATAAGTTGTCTACCCTACTTCAACTTCAAGTAGATACCAACCCGTTTGACCTCAACTGTTTAAACGCGGGAGCTGAAATGACGACTTTGAAGGAGCAGCCGCCCACTACACGTGTGCGTTTTCGTGGTGCTGTTGACTGATGGCAAGCCAACCTGCTGCAGCACTGCCGGTGGTGACAATTCCCAGTAACAACAAACAAAGGAGCTTCATTTGGGTATCTATTTGTTTGTTTTTCTTTATCTGTGAACTCTCGTAGCTGCGTATATGCGGGAAGATATTATAGAAAGAAGTATGTAGGTACGTGCGCTGAAGTGTTTAGTTTCAAACTCGTAAAATAACCGAATGTGACAACCGTGAAGCTTCGGTATGGTTTTGAGGAGGTGGAAAGCATGTTGAAATCTTGCTTTTCTGAATGGTTCGCTAGGCAGAGGAGTGAAGGAGTTGAGTGTAGATTTTCTGCGCCCATAGAGGTAGAGTAGGTCACCCCGGTAAGGAGGTCTAACGACGACGACGAAGCCGCGCTGACGATGAACTGCTGCACTGCACTGATCTTGGAATGGAGTTGATTGCTGCTTGTGTGGGAGGACTTGGTATACTTGGCTGATTCGGCGTATAATTGACACATTACTAATTTCGAATGGAGAAAACTTACGGTCGTTAGCGGCTGTATTAATCCGTGCATCATTATGAACTGTATGGTAATGCCAACGAATTTCAGACGTGATGGAAGATGAAATGGAATAATTAGTTTCACACTGGCGGACAGAGTTTAACTGTTCAACTGTTCCAAGAGCAGCATAGGTAATTCACTAGAAGTGACCACCTGTAAGGCTACGCCTAAAACAAAGCAAAAGTAAGAAGTGTTAATTGAATTTTAATTGCACAACAAATTCCTACTGACAGGCAAGACGAAGCATCATCAAGGAGGTGCAAATTTATCTTACTCTCACATCCACCGTTTTACTCAATTATACCCTCCAGATAGGACTAGTTTGTGTGACTTCCAGCGAAGTACGTAGTAAACCGATGATAATTAACAATCTTTTCACCTAGACTACCAAATCGCACCCGTCCATGACGAAGCGATGGAGACCACCCGGACATTGGACACCACGCGACCTTGAACCACAAATGGCAAAACAGCCGATAGAAACCAACACCACGGGATGTTTATGGTCTGGTTAGAATGACACTCACTTCACCATACCTGGCCGAGCCACCAAAACCCGGTGCTGCATCACGATTTCCTCCTATAGAGCATCTTTTTAATCTTACTGACACTAATCACGGATTTATTGTGGCCATTTTACAAGTTGTAGGTGTGAAAGCGTGATTAGCGTCCCAAACGCACGAATGACCACAACGCCGACGACGATGTCCAGCGTATATCAATGGAACAAAGATTAAAGCCTTACTCGGCTAGTGTTCATCGTATCATCGTCTGGCGTATACGCTACAAACGTGCTGCTCGGATTAACACAATTCTGCTCACGATTAAATGGTAATCAATTTACACCGCCAGTCAATGTTGCAGTTAATCAGGATTTTAGTATCTTAACTGCGCGGCTAATAGGAACAATCATTTTGCATGGCTTGTATGTGCTCAGCGGATATGTATGTTCGTAGGTATCAACGACACGGTTTGACCTAACAGATGTTTTACCACCCACGCAATGTCAGCAGGAAGATTCGAAGACTGAATATTTACAGCCCTCCAGTATGTTTGCCTCATAATGGATACACGGCATTAATGCGTTGACTAAATCAAATTTATGCATGTCAGGAGATAACCTCCTCTAACGGCCTACGATGGAAAATTAATAGCTTCGCGCGCTTGGTCAGTTAACAGAAATGTATGACGATAAATAAGGGTTTCACCGCCATTTGATTTACTTCAGCAGTTCACAAACTTCCGTTGATTGCGACTCGCTTGGAGGCGTTTTATAAATTCGCAACCCACCTATATTATAAACAGATATTTAACGGTCAAAATGACCTTAAAAATGCTAAAAACTTTTGGTAGGGATATTTGATCCATCATAGGGTGTGTGTGCCGGTAGTGGAGGAAATAAGACAATTTATTTAGTAAAAAATTAATAGACGATCTGCATACAAAAATTGTACGTCAATTCTGTAGCCTTCAACCTCTATTTTTTTCCTTGATTTGTTTTCCGTTGATCTTGTTTTCGTACTCAGTACCAATGCTACCGACGCCAGGGAGGCATCTCTTACACCTGGACCCTACCTATCGACCCATCAACTCTTGGACCGGGGACTAACAAGCTGAAGGAAGGCGTGATCAAAGATTTTATGTCTCAGACAATCCCGGCGGTGCCGACTGGGCTTGAACCCAGGCCCTTTGGGGTGAGAGGCAATCACGCTTACCACTACACCACGGGCGCTGCAAATCTCTATTTTAATAGGAAAAGTTCCCGTGCAGCTGTCCAATGAACAAGGCTTCAAAGAATCGTCAGTAAGTTTGTCAATGCGCACTCTGTTTTTTCAGTATGTATTTAGCTCATTTTCATTATAGCGATAGATCTTTGATAACTACTGTAGACCTCTACGGTAAAAACTGCAATATTTCAGGTAACCAAAAACAAATTAATCATTCCATTCCAAAACGTTCAGGATTTAGATGAGAGGATTAATTATTTAAAAAAAAAAAGGTGGGGTTGTGTACAAAACACGACCACATGCTTGACGTAGACTACGTTAAGCTGTTTAGTGAACTACTCATGTATTTTTTCTGGATATGGATTTAAAAGGGGAATTCAGTTATTCAATTTCAAAGTCAGAGCGAAGGTTGTATACCAGTTCTCCAACTGTTAAATGTATTGATAGTAACGAAGGCAATTCAAAGCAGAAATACATGGGCATTATGAGGATACTGTGAAGAAGTTTCTAGAAGAAAATAATCCAGAGTAGGTATTTTCGGAGAATACTTAGAATACACTATAAATCGAATTACATTTAAATGACAAAAATAGGAGATCTTCAAAGGAATTCCAAGACAGTTATGACCAGGCATGGAAAATCATTTGCATTCATTTCGAACATTCATTTACATTCGTTTGGCACTAACTTTTTTCATCAACAGAATTCCGTAAAATGAAGTATTAAGCTGTTGTAAGTTTTGATATTAGCTGCAACTTTTGTCAACAACTCAAATCTGTATTTCTTATGCATGACGACCTAGAGCGGGTAGAACTTGTAGTTGTTTTTCAGTGAATATAATTTACTTTCATTAAAAAGCAATGGTGGGTTCTGTTCGCTCTGTTCCATCATGCGTAAGAGATACAGATTTGAGTTACAGACAAAAGTTGTAGTTAATTTTAATACAGAAAAAAGTAAGTGGCAAATGAATGTAAATGAATGTAAACGATTTTCCATGCCTGGTTCTGACTAGCATGCCCAACAAATTTTGAGGAGAAATTAAAAAAAAAATGCGAGGAGAACTGCAAGTGATATCTTGGGTAAAATTCAAATAGAATTGTTGATTTAATTCAACAATAATAATTCCTGGATTGCTTAGGAGTATTTCAAATTCTAAAAATAGGAAAAGATTCTCATTTTTGCTCAATTTAGATTAATGAAATTGATTTTTAATTCAAATCAATACTCTAAATCCACAAAAACGTATGACCAAGTTGTCTAAATTCTGCGACTCTTTTAAGGTTAGCCCTCGAACTACCGACTGG